TCTCACTGAAACTGTTCCTGGAGCAGCTCTCAAGAAGAGTTTCAAAGCTCTATCCCCGCCATTCCATAGCTGAGATGGGCAAAGGTACAGCTGCATTGTCCAGTTGTTGACTACTTTGGCAGACAACTTTCTGATGATGTGAAATAGAACAGACAGAGCAAGAACTTGAAGAGCTAAGTTAGTTTTAGCCGGGCTTGGTTGGGTGTTTTCAGCAATACTCTTCACTTCAAAATTGCACAAGGAGCCAGGCAGTGGTGGCGCACACCTTTAATCCCAGCACTCGGGAGGCAGAGGCAGGTGGATCTCTGTGAGTTCGAGGCCAGTCTGGGCTACAGAGACAGGCTCCAAAGCTACACAGAGAAACCTTGTCTCAGGAGAAAAAAAAACTGTGCAAGGATGCTAGAGAGACAGTTTGGATGCTAGGAGCACTTGTTGCTCTTCTAGAGAACCTGAGACTGGTTCTGGGACCCATGTTGGACAGTTCATGTAACTCTGGCTCCAGAGTACTGACACCCTCTTCTGGCCTCTGAGCGCACCTGCACGCACATGGCATATACTGACATGCATGCATATCCATACAAATACTTTTTATTATGAAAGATTTTTTCTTCCATCCTATATCAGTGGCTAATACATAAAGGTGTTTATATGAGTTGTCAACAAAACTTGAAGTTAAATTTTCATTTCTTAGCATCTCAACTTAGTGTTCCATCCATGCTTCTAGCCCTCTGTACCAGGTATTCTCCACAAAACCTTATGATTTGCAAATAGAGTTGCTTCTTGTCTGTAGGCTACCTTGAATTCCCCCAACATTCTCTGGAATTCAGCTGGATCTGTGATTGTTACCTATCTACCACTGAGCCAATCTCCAGGTCAGAGTGAGACTATGAGGTCAGGGAGCACACTTCATCAACATTCCTCAGAACTAAGTTCATCCTCCCAAGAGCCACCTGGATTCTCAAAATGAAAGACCAGGAGCTGTGGGAAGTTGTAATGAAACAATAAATTTGAGGAATAATTACCAACATCACATTATTACTTAATGGAAACTAACACAGAAATTATAGAAAGAGGGAAGACTCTGTAATTGAAAACATATAAAGCAGCAATAAAGCAGAGAGGCTTATCTTTAGGTAGGAGGACATATCACACTGTAACATATTAATAATCTGAAATGTATATGTTATTAACTATCACCACTGCCTGCCTTTCCAAATAGAACTCCATCGAGAAATAGACCTCACTTGGATTTTCTTTTAGTAATTTTTTTTTGCAATAACAGTAGATTTATAGGCAACATTTTTTAAAAATCTAGGAGTCTGCATGATTGCTCAGTAGATAAGGGCACGTCCTGCCAAGCCTGATGACCTGGGTTTGAGCCCCAGAACCCACATGGTAGAAGGAGAGAACTGACTCTTACAAGGTTTTTGTGACCTCCTTCCACATGCAAACAGTGGCACAGGCATGAACAGTGCACACACACACACACACACACACACACACACACACACACACACACAATGAGAGAGAATAAATAAATGCAAAACAAATTTAAATTATTAACCCAGAGAGATGAACTCTATGCTTTCCCAGCTTTACCCATTACTATTTTTTTGTGTGTCTGAAACTCTACTAAAATATAGCAATCAAGATACAGACTTTCATGCAATCACCACTTCTTTTGGATGTCAAAAATTTAAACATAGTACAATTGAAATATTCTAATCATAAACTAGCAGGTAAAAGCATAAAAGTTAAGTTGAGCACATATTTTTCTCAGACAGTATTTCTTCTGGGGAAAAATGTCATTTTCAGGTCATGAAAGACAAGGAGAAATTATTTGGAGAAAGAAGTTGTGGTAAGGTTGAGAAACATCAATATTTTTCAAGAAAACATTTTTTTCACGTAATAGCTCCCATTAAAATGATCATTAGCTCTTTTTTTAAGCATGTATACCTGTTCTTCTCTTCCAGAAATAGCTAGGGAGATGATATGATCATATGAAAGAAATTTCCATCACACTTCAGAGTGTGCTGGCTGTAAATCACTATGACTGTTTACAAGGTCTCATTATGCAGTGTTACTGTGCCTGTTAAAATTTATTTAGCCATTTACTCCTAATCCATTAAAAATAGTACTTTATTTTAGCATCAAAACAAAGGCAAAGAATGAGAAACAAAAACTGCCATGAATGAAGCTTCAAGAAGTAATTGTTAGATTTTTTTTAAGTAACAACCAATAATTAAGACCTTTTTCTGAAAAGATAGTTGGAAATTATAAACACTTTTGGGTTTCTTCATCAAAGCATCTGGCTGCATTTCCAGAACTGTGAATTCAAGGCCCTCAATTTTTAATAAAACACTATTTTTTAAAATATCAGGTTGTGGTAGTTTGGGTGAAAATAGGCCCCATATCTTCATAATTGAATGCTTAGTTACCAGGAAGTGGAACTGTTGGGAATGATTAGGAGGTGTGACTTTGTTGGAGGAGGTATGTCACTGGGGTGTGCTTGGAGGTCTCAAAAGCCCAATCCAGGCCCAGACTCTCTCTCTCTCTCTCTCTCTCTCTCTCTCTCTCTCTCTCTCTCTCTCTCTCTCTCTCTCTCCCTCCCTCTCCCTCTCCCTCTCTCCCTCTCCCTCCCTCTCTCCCTCCCTTCCTCTCCCTCCCTCCTTCATTCTTTCTGCTACCTGCGGATCACAATGTAAACATCTCAGGTACTACTATAGCACCATGCCTATCTACTTTGCATCATAATGATCATGAACTAAACCTTTAAAACTGTAAGCAAGCTCCAATTATATGTTTGTTTGTTTGTTTAAATAAGAGTTGCCTTGATCATGGCATATTTTCACAACAATAGACTAGTAACTAAGACATAAGTTAGTACAAGGGAGTGATGGATTGCTGCCAGAGAGCTGACCATGCTGTTTTTTAGAGAAATGTGGGTGATTTGGGTACTTTAGACTAGAAAAGTAGGTGAACCCTTTAAGTGAAGCTTAATGGGCCATCCTAGTAGGAACATGGAAGACAGTAAGGCTGATAATGATTTGAATTATGGAGGCACTACTCAAGAGATTTCAAAGGGGAACAAAATTAATAAGAACAGCTAGGGTACAGACCATTCTTTTGATAGTTTGACAAAGAATGTGTCTGCATTTGAGTCTTGTCCTAAAAATCTGCCTGAAGCTAAATTGAAAAGTGTTAGATTAATGGTGTTGGTAGAGAAGATTTCAAGACAGCCTAGTATTGACTGTGTCACGTGGTTGTTAGTGATTACTATAATGTAGAGCTACAATGGAAAAAAAGCAAACAGAGCAAAAAGAAATAAAAATGCACAGTTTGAGAAGAAAAGGAGCACCAGAAAGTGTAATGGAACTAAGTCTAGTGCCCAAGGAGAAAAAAAGTTTAAAGAAAAGCCCAATGCTAAATGGCATAAAGGGAGTGGTACCCTCAGGGCAAGACTCCACCCAGCTAAGCATCCACCTCGTGAAATGGAAAGTTTAAGCAGTGAAGGAAACCATCAACAACAGAAAGTGTATGCAAATGCAATTCAAGGAGGGACCCAGGTTCCAGGCACAGCAAGCAGAAGGATTTGACAGCCTCAGCCATATGGTTCTGGCTTTAGAGTCAAAAAAGATACAGGCAAGCGGTTATGGGGTCTTCCTCCACAATTAAGGAAAGCTACTAAGGCCAGGAGTGTGGCTAGCTAAGTAGTCCCTGCATGGAGACCTGAAGAGGCCATGTATGAATCTACGGAAGGTGAAGCCTGGGTTGGTTGGAGATCTCAAGATGTTGCAGATGCCAGAGTTGTGAGATGCCAGCCAAGGAGAGTTGCTAACAGGGAGTGGAACCAGCCCAAGAGAGAGAAGTGTGCTGCAGTCAACAAAGCTGAAAGAAGTTGGAATTCTAAAGAGTGCTTTGACATCAGAGATGGACACGCAGAATTTGGAGTTTGGCCTGCTGGTTTTCTTGCTTTGGCCCAATCTTTCCTCACAATGTTCCCCTCCCTCTCTTTTGGAATGGTAATTTATATTCTGTGTCACTGTATGTTGGAAGTATGTGATTTGTTTTTTTATTTTGATTTTACAGGGGTTACAGTTAAGAGATTGCCTTGAGTCTCAGAAGAGACTTTGGATTTTTACACAGGGTTGAGACTATGAAACACCATGAGGATGTTTGAAATTGGACTAAATGTATTTTGCATTATGATACGACTACAAGCTCGTGGGAGCCAGGAAGTGGAATGTGGTGGTTTGAATGAAAATAGCCCCCATGTGCTTATATATTTAAATGCTTGGTTATCAAGGAGTGGAACTATTGGAAAGAATTAGGAGATGTGGCCTTGTTGGAGGGGATGTGTCACCCCCTTGGAGGTTTCAAAAGCCCACACCAAGGCCTCTCTCTCTCTTTCTCTCTTGCTCGTTTTCTTACTCGCTCTCTCTCCCTCCCTCTCTTCCTCCCTTCCTCTCTTCCTGCTGCCTATAGATCAGAATGTAAAGCTCTCAGGTACTGCTCCAGCGCTAGGACTGCCTGCTTCCTACCATGATGATCATGGACTACCTAACCCTCTAAAACTGTAAGCAAGCTCCAATTAAATGCTTTCTGTTTTAAGAGTTGTCATAGTCATGGTGTCTCTTCACAGCTAAGACACAAGCAGGGCAAGAAAAGTCAACAATTCTCATCTATTTGTACAATCTCCCAATTTCATGCCTTTGGAGTTCATTTGTAAAGTAATTTTATTTGGCCAAAGAGTATTTGTTGAGATTTATTTGAAGACTGGAACTATTCTAAAATAGACATTTTCTCCCCAACTCATGAATCATGTATAGAAAAAAAAAAAGGACAAAAAGTTCTAAGAGAAAATATATTTCCCCCAGATTTTTGTTAAGCATAAAATTTGAGTAAAACTTTGTATTTCACTGTCAGGAAATTTTATTTTTAATTGTCTATTTAATTTAATTTGTTTTCATTTCATTGTTCTCTGAGTCACATACCTCTTGAGTTCTCACAGCACTGTAAGCTGCATTGTTTTCTCCAGCCCCATCCCACAATATTTCCAAGAGTTCCAGGAAGCCCAAGGCAGTAGCTCTGAACATCAGCTTGGTTGAATTCATGGGGCCGCTCTGCTTCTCCAGTACCTGTGGGGTGTTGAACCACAGTGACTACCAGATTGTTCCTGTAATTCCTTTCCAAAATTAGTATCAGATAACCCTGTAAGTCCAATTAGAGCTGTCATCATACAGGTATGGGTAGCGGGCCATCCTCCAGAACATGGGAACCAACCAGTGGCCACAGCCTCATAAAAGAATGATTCTCCCTCCCCTAGAAACTACTCACTACCAATATCTCCTCAGTATGAGTAGGCCCTGGAGATTGCCTGCTCCATTTGTGTCAGGATTTTAGCTGGCTTGATTGTGCGTCAGCTTTGTTCAGGTAGCCACAGCTGCTATTTATTTGCGAGTGCAATAGCCACTTCTCATATAGAAGGTTGTATACATGTATGAAACTATATACATATATAGATATAGTGACAATTAAGGAGGTGATTCCACTTAGTTTATCTGATAGTCAAAAGGGGTTTGTTTATCTTGAGTTAACTTGCAACAAGCAAAGATAATCGGTTATGGAATCCAGGAGAGGTGAGGCCCGGTTCAGCAAGGTTCTCTGGAGAACTCTGACTTGGACCATAGCATCCAGCATTCAGGATCACCAGGTAGGATCACCAGGATCACCAAGAGAGTGAGCACTTACGCATTGCCCATCTTAAGGGGTCCCTGTCTCGGCCACTCCCCAGGTGGAGGCAGGTACCTAGCAGTTACCTGCTGCCTACTAGGGGTGATGCTTCAGGGTAAATCACAGACAACCACCCCTACATCTATACATCATATACATATATAGTTTGTTTCTGAAGTAACAGATTGGAAAGAGGACCAAAAGCTGAGGAGAGCAAGCACAGCTCTGCAGTGTGCACTCCGGACTCTGCTGGATCCCATCAGGACAGAGAATGTGCAGGGCTATTAACCCACTGCGGAATGAAATGAAGAATGCTTTAGGTCAAATTAGAAGTTTGAGGACATATTTCCCAGGTATGAAGGGAAAGAAGCAAGGAACCAGAAAAGCCCTTGGGCCAACAAGACCCAGGGGTCAAACCCTTGCTCTGTAACTATGGAGAGGTTCCACATCGGATCCCAGGTTGAGAAGTGAGGACCGTGACCTCCAGGTTCCTCTCTGTGATGATGCAGCTCACCTCCAGCTTCCCAAGTACCTGCAATTTCCTTATGCCTGCCTCAGGCTTCCTGTGGAGGATCCTCTGGCACCTGGGTCTGAGCCCTCCCAGGGTAGTTCCACACCTGATCCTGCTGTCGTCCCAGGAGACCGAAGTCTCCCACAGCAGCAGATTTTCCCACTATTGCGTCATGTTGAAAACTGAGGTGTTTTCATTATACTTTTGTAATAACTAAGAAAATAACCACTTCAGCATGCCTCTGGGTGAAGCAGATGGAAGCCCATGTTTCAGTGCAGGCATTAGGAAACTGAGAGCAGAGGCAGAGGAGAGAGAGGAAGCCACCTTCTCTCTAAAATGCTTGAAAATAGACCAGTGAAAGACCATAGGGACAGTAAAGTTAGCCTCTTTGCATATTTACCATTTTATGTTTATATTGTATAAATCTAGGTGCCAAACTAAAGTAGATAAATTTTATTGCCTCAAAGTATAAGGTTTCTGACATTAATTTCAACCTCAGAAAGAATACCCTTAATATTCTCATTACCCGAAATATGTATTTTTACAGAAGAAACTGTTCCTTTATTTATTTTAATTTTAGAACTTCATAGGTGAGTACTATAGTTACATCACTTCCACCCCACCCACTCCCTGTTCCAACTCCTCCTGTGTCTTTTTCATTCTGCCTCAAATGCATGGCCTCTTCTGTAATTTTATTAGTGTATGTATGTACAGGTATTTATACATATAAATACAGCCCGCTGAGTCTATTTAGTGTTGCTTGCCTGTGCATGTGTCTGGGGCTGACCACCTGGGACCAGACGACCTATCAGAGGCTGACTCTCTGTGGTATCCTGTGCTGTATCCTGTGACCCTGGAGAAGGCTGACCCTCCTGCTCTTAGCAGCCACTCATCGCACGTAGTTCTGCATCCAGGGGAGAGGCCTAGTGACATTTTCTCCATCACAGTGAGATGTCGGCTGGTGTTTGCACCACAAGAGTATTTGTTTAGATGACCATTTGGTCTGTGGAGCCACCTGCTTTGGAAAAGCAGGTTGCCCAAGTCACTGTTGACAGTGCAGGGTTGTTGTTGGTTGTTTTTATTCTTTGGGGGGCCCACCACCCAGCTCCCAAATAAATCACACACAGAGGCTTATTCCTAATTATAAATGCCCAGCCTTAGCTTGGCTTGTTTCTAACCAGTTTTTCTTAACTTAAAATTATCCCATTTATCTTTTGCCTCTGGGGTTTTCCTTTTCTATTCCTAAATACCTTTCTTTGTTTCTTACTCCATGGCTTGCTGTGCAGTTGGATGGCTGGCCCCTGATGTCCTCCTCCTTCTCTGGCTATTTCTCTTTTTTCCTTGCAGATGTTTCCTTCTATTAATTTTCTCTGCCTGCCAGCCCTGCCTATCCTTTTTCCTGCCTCGCCATTGACCGTTCAGATCTTTGTTAGACCATCAGGTGTTTTAGGAAGGCACAGTAACACAGCTTCACAGAGTTAAACAAATGCAATATAAACAAAAGTAACACACCTTAAAATAATATTCTACAACACAGGATACCACAGACAGACTGGGTAATTTATAATGAACAGAAACTTACTTGTCTTGTGGTTCTGCAGACCAGAAGTCCAAGGTCCATGAGCTTTGTGTGGAGCTTTTCTTTTTATGTCATGGTGGAAATCATCCCATTGTTGTGAAAAAATGGCAGATTGCTGAACTCAATTTTTCTATGAACCTCTAGGCAATTCCTGCTCTCCTGCAATGACAGTACCAGTCCATCAGTTTTTAACTGTCTTAACCTCTTAACACTACAAATTTGAGGTTATGTGTCCAGCATGTAAACCCACGTGACATCATTAAACCATTGCATTCAGCTCTGGAAAAGGCTTTCAGTTGCAGCCGATTGTTGACCTTATCTTTTGTTCCCAACAGTAAGTGCCTATCAAGGACTCAAAAGAGAGAGAACTGAACAGGAGAGCTGGCTCAGAAGTTAAGAGCACTTGCTGCTCTTGCAGAGGACCCAGGTTCATTTCCCAGCACCTACACAGTGGCTCACAATTATCCTTAACTCCAGTTCTGAGGACTCTGACTCTCTCTTTTGAACTCCCTAGGCAACACACACTCAGATAATATGGTACATGCAGGCAAAACATTCAAACACGTAAAATACATCAATAAATCTTTTTAAAATTTTAAAGAAATAAAACACCTTCTGAGCTGCCTAGGCTGATGGTAAATTATGGCTGTAAGACTTTCGGCAACTTGTTTCTCCACAGCCGATCATAGTGAGAAAGAAAGTCCAATGAGACGGGTAATATCTGCTGTGTAATCAGATTCCGACAACTACATCCCACCATGCTTGCCCCTTTCTGCACGCTCCTTAAACGAGTTCTCCACCATGGCCCCACAAAATTTCTCCACAGCATTGACCCCCTCCTACCAAAAATTTTCAGCTTGATCTGGATCTTACCACAAAGTTCCAGAAAAAGGTTCTCAGAGCAGTGTCTTTTGGGTAATTAAAACTACATAATGACCTAGCAGTTGGCAATTTCTAAAACAACATCATTAGAAAAGCTGTGGCCTCAGGAAGATTATAACATAAAGGAATGTGCATCTTTAGAACTAACGAAATGTGGAAAATACATTTTCTTATTTGGTATAATCATCACATTTGGGAAGCACATGAAGATTGGTCCCAAAGTGATTTTTTTTATTGCTACCTAATAAATGCTTAAAATAAAGGGATAAAATGGAAATATTAAATGTTATATGGTAAATATAATCCTCTGCCTGAAGGATTTCCAAGTTTTTCAGTTCATAAAAAGTTTCATGTTTCAATCAAGACATATTTCAAATGTCAAGTCATAATGGTAAAGTCACATGACTACAACTCTTGCAAAAAATGAAATTTGCTCCTGTTCAGTAACTACCTAGTACCAGAAGTAAAGACACAGGTAGAAAGATAAGCATGCCATATCCTATAAAAACACATTTGATTCCAAAGGCTTAGCTTAGACTGGAATCCAGATGAATGGCATGTTCATTCTTGAAAATCTTTTTTACATATAATAAGCAGGACATCTGCAAGCACTTTTCAATAATGAAAATACTTTAATTGTGGTCAGATTTTTTTACCTAAGAATTATCATTTTAAACTTTTATTTATCATATTTAATTACTAATTTTCTGATCAAGTTATTTCTCTAAATTTATTCTAAAGTCCCTTGAGAATACTTCTAAGTGCTAGCGACAAATATGGTTCATTTTGCATGCTTCTTTGACATTAAAAAAAAAAGGAAAAACTTGCAAATGTCCTGATTGACAAATTACTACCAAAATCCTGTGTTTATAAATAAAGTTTTATAGGATGTGGCCTCACCCATTTGTTTACATATTATCTGGGGACCACTTTACCACTTCAAGAGCAATTTGAGTTTCAGTTAAGATTGTAAACCCAACTGGCCCCCCAAATAGTTATTATCTAGTTATTTAGTGAGAAAAAAACAAGTAGGCAACCTCTGTTCTATAATAAGTTGGTGGTTTTATTCATCCCTTCCCCAACGTATACATTACAGCACACACTCAAGACAACTTATTTCCATTTTAGTAAACAGAAAAACGAGGCAACCATTTAGTGGTAATACATTGTAAGCAATACTATCTCATGGGGTGATATAGAGGAAAAACAAACTTCAAATGTTCCTCACAGTAGAAGAGGAGTTGAATGGCAATAAAATTATAGTTTTTCTTGTATATCAAATCAAGGACTATAAATATACTTCCTTGTAATTACATTTACAACTAAATTTCCCTCCTAATCATACGACTAAAATCTACTTGGTATATTCAGTTCTAATCTATTTTCAAGATAAAATCTCAAACGGTGACATTTCCAAGCATCATGTCCTCTTCTGTGATGGGTAAGCTAAACAAGAGAAAGAACTTTCTAATGGCTCTTGTTTGTATCTACTTTCTCCTATTGTTTTGACTATTCGGACCATGACTATTCGGACCATGACCTAGGCCTCAGAGCCAGGGATGGGTTTACAGCTTGACTGGGTCCATTGCAATTACTCAAATGCCCAAAGTAATTGATTCGAAATGGGGAAACACTCACAGGCAAACACAGCACTTTCCTGAGCAGTAGAGTTTGAGTAGCAGGTAATCCTTCTTCCTTCCTTTCCTTTTTTTCTTTTTGTAGCACAGTGTGTAACTGAAACTGAAATTGTCACAAACCATAATTCTCCCCCGGGGTAGAGGGTTGGGTGGAGGATGAAGAATTAGAAAGAAGGAGAAGAAGGAAGAAGGAAAAGAGGAGGAAGACATGAGCAAGGAGAAAGTAGTAAGGACCAGTGTCTCTGACTCTAGACATCCAAGAAGATGTCTTTCCTCTTATCCTTCCTCCAGGTTAGAGACGACGGTCCCAAAGGTCACCTCTCCTTCAGGTAGCTTAAGCAGCATCTCTTGGAACCGAGATTTCTCACTAGTAGGAAAAAAGATTCTTCAATGAAGGTCGCCAACATGGCCACTTGGCGGATGTGACTCTAGGACATGACTAGGGCAGTGATGGGGGATGGAGAGAAACAAGACCTGAAATAACAATTTCCTTAGAGGAGCTTTCTCTTTCTTCTGTCGCAGCAGAGGAAGAAACAAAACAATTTAGTTTGTCTGTGGGGTGGGGCAAGGAGGGGCGGGATCCGGAAAAAGCATTAACACAACAATTCTTAGCTCAATTTAACATACTGGAATTTAATCCGCCCGCTCTTCGCAGCAGATTCATCACACAGCCTTCCTTTCCGTTCATTTTTTTAACCTTTCTGTCTCGGTTTCACTTCTTATAGAATTTTTTATGTCTGAAAGTTTAAAAAGCAATTTATAAGATCTGCTCTAAACATTAGCTGGAGTATCAAATTCATTCCCATGCAGTTAGATTGGAAGACTTCAACCTTTCTTTCATTTTGTGTAAGGAAAAACTGTAAAACGATGCAGAAAGTCATACACATAAGAACCAGTCTCTCTTTTTAACGTGGCTGACCCTCCCCTGCTGTGTGCATCTAGTGTTGTGCCTCTGAGAATAGAACTTATTAGCAATCCTAAAGTAAAAAGGACAGGATATTTTTCAACAAGGGCCTGAGCTTTGCCAAACATCCCAGGGTTTGTCTCCAAGGACTTGAAAAGAAAGGAGAGAATGAAGAACGGAAACCAGAAAGCATGCAGCCCGGCTCTCATCTAATTACCGAATGAATGGTACAGTTGTTTTGTCTGATTGCACTGAGCTAGTTATCCACTGCTAGCTTCATTGACAAAATGGGAATCTACACAAATTATAGGGAAATTCAAGCACTAAAGGAATGTTTTGGTTCAGAGGTTTGCAATGACTATTGGCTTTGGTTTTTGGCAAAGGCTGCCTTGGCCGCATGAACTCAGCTGTGCTGGGTCAGCTCGAAGCTTTCCCAAAAGCCTAGAAGAGCACAGACGTCCTTGTCATCTGTATCCCATCAATAAATTAAAATGATGTTCTCTAGTTCATGTTTGTTTCTTGGCAGGCTAATCTACAATCAGAAAAAAGAAAAGCCTTTCATTTCTGCAGTGCAGCTAAAGGAAGGAAGCTTTTGTATGTGGAGTCACTGGAGACCAAAATATTAAAAAGTAGAAGAGGAAAACCATATGTTGCAGCTCTCCTGGGCAAGCAGCTCTAAGTCCTGGTTCAAGAAACGCTCGAGTTCATAGAGAGACATGAACGCTTTACTGTGAGTAAAGGGATACTAATAACAATACTAATATCCTTTGTTACACATACTGACTTTTCAATGTTTATGCTTTCAGATTTCATACATGCTTCTAATGTATTTTTATCGTACCTATACCCTCATGTTCTCCTCCAAATCCCCCTCTTCTCTCTATATATCCCACTGAATCCAATTAGCGCTGCCCAAATGCACATGGGTGTGGGAGCTTGGGCAACCTACCAGTGGGCACAGCCCCAAATAAATGACTTTCCCTCTCCCAACAGCCATCAACTGCCAATAAACTCCTCAGCTGGGGTTGGGCCCTGACAAACACTGACATTTTAAACAGTGTTTGGTTTTCTTCAACTTTTTTTTATGTCAAAAGGACCTACAAATTAGAAATTTCAAAGAAACCTGACATCTTCAAAGATTTTAGCCGTGTTTTAGATTTGCGCTTTGCTTTTAGAAGGAATTGAGAAATGCAACATAATAGATAGAAAAGATAATTGCCACAAACTCCTTGCTCCTTTTCTAGGTATATTTAAGTGAGATGAAACTTTGTAATTGTAACAATTGGATACAGATTAAAGTAACAGCAGGGACATTACCAGAATGATTGTCTGTATCTTACTTCATTGCCAAATAAATAATGTGCTATTGGCTTATTTCTCTCCACTGACAAGGGGTTTTCCTTGACCTTGTCTCATTTGTAAACCAGCACATTAATCAGAGCAGGACTGGTGTTCTTCTAACCCTCCAGCACGCATTTGTGATGACCACATTTGTGTTGGGTTTCCTTTATATCTCTTTGAAGCAGCCAAGAATAAATCCCACTTGAACACATGTATCCTTTATAGAATATGGCTTCCAGCATAAAATGTCAATACTTTATGGCCTCATATGTCAATGACTCAGTTCCTCAGGAAGTGAATTGATATTATTCCTCTTTTGTAGTGGAGTCACGTAAGTTCCAAAGGAGATTTAGTGCAAGAGCATGATTAGTAGGAACTACAGAAGTTCTCAGAAT